GTCGCCTCGACGACTCATCTGCCACGAGGCTCCTCCTGCGCACCAGACCAGCGGTCGACAGGCCTCAGGCACCGGTAGCCATTTGTCTTCGGGCTCCGTAGACGGACCAACCAGCCTCCACTCCGGTCGGCCTGGCAGGCGGGGACCGGCCTCGATGACAACTGAGCCTGGCAGCATCACTGGCAGCCCAGCCGAGACGGGTGAGACATGTGCTTAGTCCAAAGCGTACCCAATTAGGCAATAGTCAAACACTTGGTTAATTTTTGTTATCTCGCTTGGCAAACTTTCAGCCAGGACCTAAAAGAGCATGCTAACTGTTGCTATCTCAACTGCTTCGTATGTTCTATTGTAAATGCACACACACACACACACACACACACACACACACACACAGATGCATATAAATCGGGATAGCTAATGTAGGGAAATAACATAATTTGCCTTGGTGACTAGTTTTCTTAATTTTATGTAGAAAAATATTCTTTGAAACTGTCACTGATTCTTGAATAGGATTTTTGACACCCTAGGTTGCTTAGGAGGATTTAATGACTAATATTGTTGGGACACTTTCATTTCGAATGAAAGTAAATGAAGAAGAGATTAGTAGGTCGATCACACCAGAAGAGGACGGCTGAATTTCGTTGTACAGCAGCCGTTTGGCCTTAATACGACGTTCAAGTTGACGCAGTTCACGAGGCATCCTCCTCGTTTTGGGTGAAAAAGGACTGACCTTTCTCATCCAACATACGATGGACATCATTAGGGCTGGAACTAATTCTTGTAAAAGTCTCAAGTTAACACTAGCTTCTGCGATATAATGGTTCAGCCAATTATCTTTCATATTGGTCATGTCACTTTTGCTTAAGTGTGTGTCTATGTATGTTAACGTATATACGCATTACCGGTTGTCACAAAATCCTATTTTCAGGCTCGGATCATTAAGGCTTACTTCAAGAAAAAACTCTGCTCGAGACTACCTAAGTCCGGAAGCAATTCTGCTTGAGCTTGTAAGCGAAGTCACCCGTCATAGCCTCTGAGTCTAGGATCCTTAATGTTTAATGACCCTTGGAAAGATATGACTGGGATTGCGTAATCTCGTACACTTGGTTTGGCTGATAAGTTTAATATCATGTTGGATGAGTGTGAGTGAGGTACAACAGGACTCTGCCGTCGTCTCCTGGTGAGATTGACCTCGAATCTCTTCATCATTTATTTTCATACTAAATGAAATTCTCCCCAACAATATTATCTTAGGATATTCTTCGAAACCCAGTTACACTTCATATCAACAGGATTAATAGTTCAGCATTTCCACCATCAGATGAGTTGACCCCGCCATGCTACTTTATTTCACCTAGGCTGTCTCATCCAGGATGGACTCCAGTTTCCACCTTGCTTAAATTGGTCTCATCATCACCCCTAGCGGGCTGCGATACTGGGTCGTGAATTTCACGGCGACGTTACCACTCCTCTCAACAGCCATGGGTAACGGTGTGCCACAAATCAGGTGTGACATTCAGGCCAAGCTTGACTAAGCTTCTCCAAAATCACATTTATACTGGAAATACCGAGTTGGCAAACACGTATTTGCTTCTGCAATCCACGATGCTACTTATTTTTATTATAAGTAGGTTTCGAGCCTATCAGTAGTTCTATAAATATAGCAAGATTATGTAAAATTTAATGGCATTGTGAGGCCTAACCATCTGATTGTGGAAAAAAGCAACTACTATTACTTTTTTTTAGCATTTAAGTATTGTTTA